AATTTATATTGGCTATTATAATGATATGTGACCTTAAACGTTTCTGTAAAGCTAATTCAAAGAAAAGAAGGTAAAAGAAAACTATGATGAAATCAATCTATAATATCTAACACCAAGTACTCAGGCTTTCTCTATACCATACAACAATTATTCCGTTATAATGATACTCATTACCACCTTGTGATCCTTAAAAAAGGCTCCGAGTTATTAACCCTCTGCATATTTTTGAGAATGGTTACATGGACTTAACCTGCTTTATGTAGATTGCTTGTTTGCATTCATAGATTTTTTGGAGGACCGATTTCAATCAAAATCGGTCGTCTGTGTGTTTCGTTACATCCTCATGAAACTTCTTACGGCGAATGGCAAAAATAAACAACTAATAGAAGATACAGTTTTTAGATGCAGTTAAAAAACTAACTAGATCCGGATAATGGCCTGGTGGTTAGGGGCGCTTGATTCGTAATCCTCAAGTCGCGGGGTCCAATCTTATCACCGACTATTCTTGCCCGTTCAGCCAGCCCTATAACGTGACAGACTAATCCTACTATTCAATTATTAGAGTAGCCCAAGAGTTGATCATGGATGGTTTTGACTAGTTGCCTTCCCTCTAGTCTATCACTTCAAAATTAGAGACGGCTAGCGCAACTAGTCATCGAGTAGCTTTGCACGAAATTTAACAAAGCAAATAATAAAATAGATTCAGGTGGAATAATACAACTAATTTTCTAATTTCTAGTTCAGATAATGTACAACAGATGATGCCACGGTCAAGGGTTACGCAACTCATTTGTTCGCTTGTTTGTTGGCACAAATCTACATAATGAGCTCCGTGCTATGCCCATTGCGGTATCAAAACCCTATTTTAACGATATCTGTCTCAGACTTACCACTGAGACAGCGGAAGGATACGTAATTTTAAGAAGGTAATCTGGTTTACTCTTTACAAAAAATTTAACATCAGTGCAATTACCCAAACACCTCAGATTAAAGTAACTTTTAAATTATTCCAAATTAAAAAACTAAGATAAAAAATTAAACGACGTTAGATAAAGTTTTGTTACATAATAGATGTATTACTAGCGGGAAGTACGTATATGTGCTTGAAATTACTCTTGCAACACAAAATAAGCAGCTAAATAAATTTCAGGAGTATATTGTTTACTCATGTGATAATCATAATATCACACTTCAGCCGTTTCAACATAGAGAGATTAATAGTTTCACTATATGTACATGGCTTGCTCTGATCGGAAGTTACTATTAATAATAAGCAGGGGGTTTGAAAAAATAGACATTATCTTTTAAAGTTTACTATAACAGATCAGAAAATATTTAATAATCAAACAATAAATAACACAGGAAGTAAAGTGGAAATAAATATCATACAATTTTTAGATATCGTACAATATATTATAACTTCAAAAAAATGTCACAACCTATTAATCATGTTGGTGCAAACATGACTATAGAAAATGCAACCTAATGCAACTCTATTTTTACTGACACTCTGTCGTTTTGAAATTTCGTTAGACATTACGTTGTACACTATGACATATAAAACAAAACTTACAAAAATGTAAGTATAACAAACAATTTTAACAACCTCAAAAAACAAGAAGTGCTTATTTCACGTGGATGATGTAATAAATCACAATTTTTAACAAGAAGTGCTTACTTCACGTGGATAATGTAGTAAAATACACTTGTATTAACAAGAAGTACTTACCTCACGTGGATAATGTAATAAAGCACACTTGTATTAACAAGAAGTGCTTACCTCACGTGGATAATGTCATAAAATACACTTGTATTAACAAGAAGTGCTTACCTCACGTGGATAATGTCATAAAATACTCTTGTCTTAACAAGAAGTACTTACTTCACGTGAATAATGTCATAAAATATACTTGTATTGACAAGAAGCACTTACTTCACGTGGATAACGTAATAAACAACACTTGTATTAACAAGAAGTACTTACCTCACGTGGATAATGTAATAAAGCACACTTGTATTAACAAGAAGGGCTTACTTCACGTGAATGATATAATAAAGCACACTTTGTTAACAACAAATACTTACTTCACGTGGATGATGTAATAAATCACAATTTTTAACAAGAAATGCTTATTTCACTTGGATAATGTAATAAAGCACACTTGTATTAACAAGAAGTGCTTATTTCACGTGAATAATGTAATAAAGCACACTTTTTAACAAGAAGTGCTGAATTCACCTGGGTAATATAATAAAGCACACTTGTATTAACAAGAAGTGCTTACTTCACGTGGATAATGTAATAAAGCACACTTTTTAACAAGAAGTGCTGAATTCACTTGGGTAATATAATAAAGCATACACCAATTCCTTAATTATTTGTTCGAATAATGTCTTTACAGTTTAAAAACATAAAAATAACTGTATTTAAACTATAAATTATACCAGTTACCTTTTAGCTATCTGGAAATTAAAACAATAAAAAAATAGGAAAAAGCTCTTAACTAGAAGCCCGATAAAGCGATGACGGTTTAAAAATATGATGTCAAAAAAACATTTACGAAACACAATAAAAAGGTTTTAAACAGAAAATTAAATTATCCCAGTAGGTAACAACTTTTAAATAGTATTTTTTTTATTATAAATATTATGAGAAACACTTGAAAGAAAAATATATTTTTTTTTAAATAGGTGAAAATGTGTTATTATGTGTATATAAACACAAATACGTACACAAATCCTATAATACTGGTAATGATCTGTAAAAACAAAACTCGGTTCTGAGTATTATGATGTAATGAATCATTACACACATCAGTCTATAGATGTGCGAACTACAAGAGCAAAGGTCTCTCATGAAAATATGTAAAATCAATTTGTTTGGTTTTTGTACTTAAACAAGGAATGACTTTATTCATTCAGATCTGAAAAGATGAGAAAAAAAGCTCAAAAAGTCTGAAAAACATTTTCGCTATTTTTTTTATTACGTCATATCTTAACTGCAATTGCGAATATATAACAAACAGTAATAGGTTTTAATTTAAAGTGCTATTTGGTAGGACTGTGTAGAAAGTAGGGAAATAAAACATAATGCTCCTTTTTATTTATCTTTTATAATTATGAGTTTTGTTGAAGGTCATGTCTTTAGTCAAGATAATCAAAGACGTTCAGAATGAAACTACAATTCGCAAAACATACAGATCAGAACTTAGATAACATAATGTTCTATTCTTGATAAAATAAATAAATGTTTTTTAAATTTTTTATTTTTAATATTCAACGAGAAGCGTTAACCCTTACAGAAATAATACTAGGATATTTGTTTGACTCAATTTATCATAACAACTGATCGAACCTAAAATTTTTATTTGTGTGAACAAAACTCTTATAAATATAAATGAAATAAGTTCTCACCTTAATATAAAAGGCCGTTGAGAGGGGCCAGATGAAGAAAACTGCAATAATGCAAAGCGTTACAGCCACCCGTAACATGCTTCTAGGATTGCAGGGCTTCTTTTTTGAGAGATACCAATGCTCAAAATGACAAGGACCTCACGTTTCGCTGAATTTATATTGTTCGGGCTAGAGCCGATAACGTGATCCCTCAACTGGACAGCGTCGAGTAAGAAGCCTCCTAAGATATTCCGTTTCTTCGGTGCGAACTAAAATTACGAAAAACGTTAGCTGTTGTTACCATGGAAACCGTTGCTTAGTTTTTACATTGTCTAAAAGCGTGCAGGAGGATGGATTTAGTTTGAGTTTAGGTAACGTTGTTACTTATAATACGGCGCTTGTGGTCATAAGAAGTTTTGGCTTTATGTCTTTCAAGTCTTAATTCACTCCATCTATGACGAGTACATTCATGTTTACTATCACTAAATCATCTTGGCAGTAGATCATCCTTCTTTAACTTTCACTTCAAACGTTACCATTTATCAAGGTTTTAAGAGTTTATATGCATGATATTATGTGTAAAAACGGAGGGACGGTGTGAAGAAAACTTGTAAATATTTTAACATATATAAAAAAGAAAAGCATTTCTTATTGTTATAAAAATGGCGTGTTAAACAAGTTTTCAAGTGAAGATTCAAAGACAAGACGTGTTTTAAATATTTAACAAAAGCTATTTACTTGTACAGATATATTTACAAGAAGAAGAAAAAATTCAATTTTTGCTTGAATTAGAAACTAATTAAGAAAAAAAAGGAACACATTTATATTAATGAGGTAATTTATATGCTGTACATGAAATGTACGAGCTGTTGACTAGTGTTTAATCTCATGGAAACTCATGCTTAATGAAGATTTCTACGATAAAGAGTTGGTTATCATAACAGTTGTATGAGGTATTTTAATGTTTGATATAAAATATTAACTTCACATCGCAAAGCATTGAATATATGTGTTTTTCACGATTACACAAACAGACGGAATCTTTCCTTTTTGAATATTTATAACCACTTGTAGTCATACACATCTGAGGAATAAACATGTTTTCAGACCTAATTATACCACTCTCTTCAAATAGCACATTAGACGAGAACGACAAAGCCTTTTACACGCGACGTTTTCTTTGAAAGGGCATGATAACGTTAGTATTAAATTCTATAAATACCACATTATATGACCTACTGTGCTGTCATATGCTGGTGCAGTTGGTCCTGATCACGATGAACTGGTTAACACATTCCTTAAAGAAGCCCTCGAGAGACGAAGCACATCTCATCATGTGACTTCAGACTTTAAATATACTGCGGAAAGAACTCTTTCAGAAGAGTAGTTAATGATTCTTGGTTTTATAGACGCTCTGATTGAAAGCCTGTAACATCTGTGCCAGCGTACCCTTCTTTTGGGGATACTCCATATTGAAGTGAAATGTCCTCTACCAAAAGACCATTTTATATGTCTTAAACTTAGTGACCAGAGAAATGGACTTCAGATCACATGATTCGCCTAAAACCTAACTGACGGAAATGGTTGACATTGTTTTATAACAATGGTTTTGCCTTCTCACAGCTAAACTATTATACATGCCGATTGTCATTTAACTGGAAGTAAAATAAACACATCAGATTGTCGAAAGTTGGGCTAAATGCATCAAAATCATTGTGTGGAACCACTTTCAAACTAACGATAGAGTTGCTCAGACAGCTTGACAAAGATAGCTATCAATTCAGGCTCGTCACAATCTTAGGTTGCCTACTCCAAGACACCTTGTTTACAGCTGTAACTGGATTCTATGTCAGTGTACAGACAGTAATAAACAGACTTTACAAGGCTAGTGTGTATGCCAGATGCCAATGAAGTGCATTCTCACTCCAAGACACAAAACAACTAATCTCTGTTGGCCAGAGACATAGTTAATGGACTAATAACATTCTTTTTGCAAATAAGCTGCAGTCAGATAACAGGCATATAACAATTTAGAAAGAGGTCTAACCCTATTTTCAGAAAACAATGTGACACATGCTGTGGTGGTGGAAGCATAATGTTATGAATTAAGAAACAACTCAACTTCCTACATGATTATTCATGAGTGAAACAAACGCCTTCTTTGAAATTCTGCTATGATATTTTAAATAAGTTATCTAAAATTTTGTATTTAAAATCCATAGATGGCAAGAACAGATTGAACTTTTTAAATGGCGAATTGAAGAAAAACTGAAATACAAGTCTTTACGGAGTATATATACTACACACACAAAAAACATAAAGTCAATAAATCACTATAAGACCAAAGGTACAAACTAACCACTATTAATTGTCATTTAAACTAAAACAAAATGAAATTAGAAACTAAACTTGGAGAAGCAGATTTTTAAAACGCACATGCAGGTCAGTTGGCTCAAAGAATAGAAAACTACATAAAACGATTTTACTGGTGGAGGTAAAGCACGTGACTAAGAGAAGCAACGTTTCACCAGCAAAGCTGTATGACTCCGACCTCACATGAAAGTACTGACAGCACCTTAACCACTCGTATATGTAGCATATGTTCACTACTGTTCATGAAATAACGTGTTCAAACATACAGAAAAGCTATTTTTCTGCCCTTTTTCTGTGCTTGAAGTGGATAGTTTGCTGTAGATGTTACTAAATATTTGTAATTACTTACGTTTCTTTATACTTTTGTTATCCCGCTGCGAACATTTAGGGCAAATCTGTTTGTGCGAGTATTTCATCATCTAGACGTACTTTCTTTTATTCTGGCTTTAACAACTTTACGGAAATATCTGAAAGAAAACAAACACATAAGTCAGAGTTCGTCGTATCCACACGAGTCTATTACAATTTATTAAAACTCTTTTAAAATCCATGATTTGTAAAATTTCACTTACTATTAAGTATTGCTCGTAAATTGTTTTTCATTTTTAACGTAATCTATAATATACGTTTCTAACTTCATTAACAAGCTAGGCATCAAATTCATTCACCAAACTCACAAAATATAGTTGACTATTCAGTTTTATATATATATATATATAGTAATCAGAACAGTAATTAAAACTCTGTACTTCATGTTAGCTCACAGCTATTTGTCTTTCGACCTTCATAATTATGCATATCTCAGATATCTGTGATGTAGATATAAACACACGATGAAAAACAAATAAGTTTGATGACGCAAAACCTTATTAATGAGACCTAAAACTTCGCGAAGATTTGAAATGTTTAATTGTTTGTTATGGGGAAAATTAACATGTAAAAATGCTTCATTGATGATTTGGAACACTGTAAACCCTGCAATATACTTAACGTGGGAAATTAGAATGTATAATTATATATATATAAATATTCCAAATTTTTTACATTGTAATACCCAAGCTATAGCAATGACGCTAAGGTGGCGTTTCACAATATATTATCTCGACTGCAAGTTCAACAGTGGGATGATAGAGCTTTATATTAAAATAATAAATATCACACAATGTTAAAATCGATAAACAATTAAAATCATTTTAAATTCAAGCCAATCTATGTTCTCTAAAAATAAAATGTGGACTCCACATGTTTACCAGGAGTGAACTTACAAGACATAAGTGTCATATTTATTCCTTCTTAGCTAGGTTGTATCTGACTTGTATGTAAGTTTACATTTCATCATAAATCTCACAGGAGGTCCCACCACATTCTTACACATATATTCGCCGGACACTCGTCACTATTTAATAATTCATGATCATTTATAAACTTTATTATTTCTAAAGATTGGCGGACATTATTGGCTTTAACCCTATGGTTGAATCAGGATTACTGTTTTTTTTTTTTTTTGCCACAATACCTTATGGTGTGTTTTTTGTACATGTTCTGCTGTGATCGAATTTTCAGTCCTTTCATTTCTTACACATCCCTTATGTTCTGCTAAACAATATTTTATATTACGTTTTGTCTGTCCAATCTAAACACGTCCACATTCACATTCATTTCTATAAATTCTAGCTTTTTTTTCCATTAACTGTATTTTATTTTTAGTATTACCTAAAATTTGTTATATCTTATTCATCGGTTTAGATATAAAATAAAATATTTGTTGTTTTTTAAACACTTTGAATAAACTAGAAGTTAGACCTGGAACATATGGTAAATCTAAACATTCTTTTTTATTTGTAGCATAACAAGGTTTTAAGGTACTACCTTGACCCATTATAACCTCTCGAACCTCCTCTGAGATTTATGCAGAAATGGAGACTTACACACAGGTCACATGAACTAGCTAAGAAGAAATAACTGACACTTATATCTTGCAAGTTCACTCCTGATAATGACGTGATAAACGTTGTAACGTGTAGAGTTCACATTTTAGAGGCCATAGATTGGCCTGAATTAAAAAATGTTTTTAATTGTGTATCGATTTTAGTGTTGTGTGTTAATTTTTTTTATTATTTTAACATTATACACAAGAAAATACTAGCTTTAGATTATTTTGTAAAAACAAAATTCTTATTGTTTCTGATCAAAACACAACATAAGATGAAAGATCATTTTCAAAGCATCACTTATATCATTTAATGTATGCTGATAGATTGAAACCAAAACAAAATACAGATATTTATGTAAGTTATATTAAAAGTATTATTGAATATGCAAATCACCAAGTCACGTGACAACCATAGCCGATATAATATCGTGGTTGTAGGGTACGTACCAAAACTGCAGTTTCATTGTTTGGCGTTTGTAAGTACGTGTCGCCACCAAATGGTATGTAACAGCCTTTTCCGACACAGATTATTCATACACCGAGATCATAAAAATGTGTTAAAATTACGGATTTCCAACACGGGCGGTTGGCGCGGATTATAGAAAATCAGGAGGGAGTAGCGGTGTGTTTCGGTCACCTTACGTCGGAATATTGTACTATGAAAACTACGCTGCAGGGGTATATTTAAGAAATACGGTCGTCAAGTAGGATACGACCGGACGTGGCGACATGACGAGGTGAGGTTTTAAAAATAATTCATATTACGTACTCAACCTCTGTACTCTTTTTTCAACGAAACTCTTCTTAGAATTGCACATGTCTTAAGCACAAATAAACTGTAGAAGTAGCCTTGTGTCAGCCTTAACCCTGAAGATAATGGCCACAAAGGTTATCAGTTTTGAGCATTAATT